GATAGAGAGATAGAGACAGACAGACAGACAGACAGACAGACAGACAGACAGACAGACAGACAGACAGACAGACAGACAGACAGACAGACAGACAGACAGATGGACAAAGAGATAGAGAGAGACAGAGAGACAGAGAGGCAGAGAGGCAGAGAGACAGAGAGACAGAGAGACAGAGAGACAGAGTGAAAGAGAGACAGAAACAGAGAGAGACAGGGAGAGAGAGAAGGATGAAGAAGAGAATGACAGACAGAAACAGAGACAGATTTACACTCTGAGAAACTATTGGAGCAATAACTGGGTCATGTATGCATATGCCACAAAGTAACAAACAAAAGAAAAAAAGACATGAGTATTTCCCCTTTAACAGAACAACAACTAAATGACAACAAAACAAACACCACCCTCCCTCTCGAGACTCAGAACTCCTTTTTTTAAACCTCAGAGCTCATTGAAAGATCCGAACATAATTTCTCCCTGTGACCCACGGTTTCATTAAAAAGAGGAGCAGAACATAAGATAATTGATGAGAAACGACTCAAAACCCTGTAGTTTTCACTAACAGTGAGAGCTTCAACATTTTATCCCGATGGTTCGTTTAAAGGAGAAGGAACATTCCCCAAAGAAGCTGACGTCCGCCTTGGGGCATAATTTTCTAATAAGCGAAGAGCAGCCAGGGTTACGGGGCCGGGGGTGGGGTGTCCATAGAAACCTTGTTCAACCAATCAGAACAAAGGATTTGGCCGTTGAATGAGGACAATTATTTGTATACAGAGGTGATAATTTCGCTTCTTATCAATGGCACGTAAGTGGGGTGGGGGTGGGGGTTGAATGTCTCCGTTAAATACTTCGACAAATCACGGGAAGTCTTGAAGTTTTTTAAAATTTGAGGTGTGGGTGGTTGGTGGGTGCTATGGTGTGGTTTGGTCCTTCTCTCCTATCAAACATCTATTGTCCTTATCCCTCCTTCTTCATTTTCGTGTTTGTTACTCTCCTGTACCACCTTTAACCTTCGGCACGTATATGCCCTTTTGTTGGTATGTGTGCTTCAGCTGGAAGGAAATTTTGAACCGTAAGACGCTTTCTAAAACTTAAAACTAAATTAAACAACAACGGGTTGCCTTCACAGACAATTTCCCCTGCTTTTCCCGTATATGCGACCAATGTCACCGATAAACTATAAATCTGCTATTTTGTTTTTCTTCAAAAGTTTGTACTCAGCATATCTGAACAGCTGGTCGACGGCTGGTTGGCGGGTGCTCTGGGGTGGTGTGGTCCTTCTCTCCAATCAAACATAATCTATCGCCCTTATCTCCCGTCCTTTTTTTTATGTTTGTTACTCTCTTGTCACACCTCTAATCTTCGGCACTTATATGACCTTATTGTGTTGCAAGTGCCGTAAAACTCTTACTGAAACAAAAGCAAGTGCCGTAAAAACAACAACAGGTTGCCGTCTTACACAATTTCACCTGTGTTTCTCGAAATAATTCAAAAATTGAAGATTTTTTACGTTTGTTTGTTTGTTTATTTGTTTGTTTATTTGTTTTTTGTTTTTTTTCTTTGTTTCTTTGTTTGATGTTTGTTTGTTTGTTCTTTTGTTTTATTTTGTTTTTCAAAAAATTATATTTCGCAGTTCTGAACAGGCTGCCTGGTTAGCGGGTGCTCTGTTGTGGTTTTACTTCTCTCTTATCCAACATCTGTCGTCTCTATCATTCCTCCTTCTTTTTTGTGTTTCTTGTAACTCCTCTAATCTTCGGTACTTATTTGACCTTATTGTGTTGCAAGTACAGTAAAACACTTGCTAAAACTAAAACAAAGGCTGACTGCCGCCGATATGTCAGCTGAGATCGATGTTTGTGGAAATTGCTCAAAACATGTCAGTTGCTGTGTTTCATGCGCCTGTCGTAGAGTCCCCCCAATGTACAGGCAGTTCAGCGGGGCGTCATTAAACTTCACACGATGATCTTTTGTGAATGTCCATAGGAAGAAACGCTGCCGGCTTTATTTGAACAGATGTCTTGAAGTATTTGACAGAGTCTACGACTAGCGGGGCTCTCTCTCTCTATCTTGCTTTTTCCCTCTCGCTCCCACCCT